GCCCATATCCCTCTTGCTTCCCTTGTGCTTCATAACACTGAGGTTTCCTGGCACTTGTCACCCAACCACTGTGTCCCCTTCTGATGGTTTCTGTCCCTTCTGTTCTCAGCCTTCCTGCCAGGAAACTCCAAGGTGCCTTCAGAAGGAACCTCATGTCCCAAAACTCAGCAGCCTCCTCTCCTTGTCCCTGGGGTCTTCATTCCCATTTTCCAATCCCATTCCTCCATTACCTTCCATCCCACCCTGTGGATGCCCAGAACCCTGGCAACTCCATCAGAACAGCAACAAGACAGGAAAAAATGAAGGAATAACATTCTTCAAAGGGTCACTCAGCAGGTGGATTCTCCTGCCTCCACCAGCATCTCCCTCCTACTCCTCCCATCCACGGGAGTGTGTTGCCTGCCTGCCATCCTTTCCCCTCCATCCTATTACAAACACAGCAGTGGATCATTTGTTTCCTGTCCTTGAGGCATTGCCAGTGTGTGACCTGCCGAGCTGGCTCCAATTCTTCACTCTCTTCCTCGTGGCTGGTTGTTTCCCCATCTCTCTGTGCAACAGCAAACACACCTCATCCACGGCTTTGCCCCGTGTCTTTTATCTTCCACTCTGTCTTCTGAAGGTGTGCTCGTTCTTAAATTCACATTTATGCTGGTTGTGAAGGTGGTCTGTAGAAAAAAAAAAAAAAAAGCTGGGGTTAGTTAATGTCAGGGAGGTTTGCTCTGTAAATGTACAGAAGTAAATGAAGCCATCAGGTAACAGCCAGAATCCAGAATCCAGACTAAGGTAAGGAAAGAGGGGCAGAAAAAGTGCTTCCTGCTTGGGATATTTGATCCAAGAAGTTCTTTTTGATCTTTCACCCCTCTTAAGTTTGGGGAACTTGTCCAAAACAAAAATATCCTAATTCAGGAGAACAATTCATGTGCATAAAAGAAATTGAAAGGCTGCTGTTTCCTCACTTACTGTGTTTCTCTTTTGTCCTTTCCTTGTTTTATATTGAAAACAGTGGGGCTGACAAATAAGAAAGAAAAAGAAAACTGCTTTACTCTCTTTTTTCTTTCTTTTTGCTATTTTCAGAAGTTTTTGTAAGAATTTTGGCTCAGTGTGTTCCTGTTGGTGCATTTTCCCTGTGCCCAGCAGAATTACTGCTACCTCCCTGAAAAGCAAAGCAGGAATGGCCCCAGGAGGGAGGAGAGATGACTCTCCCCAGACATTATCTGGCAGAGGCAGTAGCTGTTTTGGGGATAAACAATGATGAATTGACTCCAGCTTCTTGCCAGAGCATTAGATAAGCAGTGTAGGACCATGCAAATCAGCCCTGCCTATTCCTGGTTGCATTTGTGCCCCTTCACCTCCTCAGTTGCCAGTGCCCGAGGTGCCCTTGGCTTGGCTATGGATGATGTTGGCTCAAAGTGGACAGAGCCAAAGGCAGACAGATGGGGAGGGGATCACGGCACAGGACTGGGCTCTGATCCTCCCCTCCAGCCTCCGGACCTGGTTCTGCAGTGTCTGTGTGTCCTTCGTTTTCTGCAACCTGCACTGAGCCCTGCATTGCAGCAGCAGAGGAGTCCCCTCGCTGTGCGGATCCTGCGCCGACCTGCAGCTCGCTGTGACAGGGGGAAAGGGCAGGGAAAGGTCCCAGGGCCCCCAGAGCCTCGTGTCTCCAGCAGAGGTTTCCCCAACCCAGCCCTGAAGGCTGTGCAAAAGTGTGGAGAAGCCCCTGTGTGCCAAAGTGACCTCCTCGAGTAAAGAATTTCATATTTCCTACCAGCCCTGGAGTATGACAGTCTCTGTCGGTGCTTTAGGATATAGATATATATTTATTTAGGATCATCTGTATTTCTGCGTGCTGCAAAGCTCCTCTGGATAGATAAAGAGATCCTCATCTGGCAGAGTCATTCCAGCAGTGAGATCCCAGGCTGACGGGATTAAAACCAGGTTTGGGGGGTTTTCTTTCCAATGTCCTTCCTCCACACATGCACCCTGTGAATGGAGGAGGGAAACCAGCACAGTCAAGCCTTCAGAACAGTCTCTCTATTGTGCCTCAAAGTAGAAAAGGTTTGGGTGCCAAATTTTTTACTGCAGTGTAAATTAAAATGCCTGGACGAAGATGATAGACACATCGCATGGAGATCAGCACAGCCTCCTGCCTGGTCAGAGGCATATTAGAATGGAGAGCAAACTATTCCCAAAGGCATTGTCTGAGAGAAAAAAAAAAATAAAACAAACCACAGCCAAGGGGGATCAGGACTCTGGTGCCAAGGCCTCTCAAAGCTTTTGGGTGGTTTGGGGGAGCTGGAGGAGGCTTGTGGCTCCTAAGCATGAATCCTGCCCATGCAGACATGCTGCAGATATTTGTCTCTCCCAGTGTGATTACACTCTGAAAAGTGACTTACCATTACTACCCTTGTGGGATTCTGGGCTTATAGGCTCTAGTTAATTTTCCACATTAATAAAAAACCCATATGAAAAACATGAAGGGGTTTTGTTTCTTTATTTTGTT